CATACGTTAATAAAAACAGTACCAAATAATGTATAATTCAAAGTGATCACATACTAAGGTGATAAAAGCAAAAGGGAAAGTTGTTCATAAACCAAACTACATTAAAGAGTGCATCACAGCTCCCTCGCCCCAAGTAAGAGAAGAACAAATGCTTTTCGCATAGCACCATCCAATGTCAGGAATGTTCTCTCATCACTTGCTTTCTCCAAAATTAGCCGTAGTGTCTTAATTTGGTCATTAATAGACAAGTCCATCTTTGCCAATTCAGCAGCAATGTCAGGTCTTGGTTCTGATCCTTTCACCAAACTATTAGTTATAGTTTTCACTTGGTCAACAGACTCAGAAATCATCTCACCAAATGCTTTAGCCATTTCCTTTTGAATATCAGTATCTGCATTTCGTTTGCGGTGTCGATTGCTTGAGCTAGCTGAGTTTTGTTGATTTGATCTTGGCAAAGAGGCAGAATGTTCTGGATCAACCTCAACTTCCTCATCATCATCATTGACATCAAAGTGATGCACATACTCATTCATCATTTCAGTGGGAGTTGCAGACCCTCTACCAGTTGCTCGGTCCTTCCCAAATATATTCTTCAACCTATCACATATCATACATTGTTTCCCCCTCCAACCATCAGCATCCTTGTTATGCTGCATCAAAATGGAAAAATTATAAATAAATTGTAAGTATAACAAATATAAGAATTACATATTACTTAACAGATGTACTAATCTGTACATAAGTGTTCCATGCTTCATCACTATCAACCTCAATGCATTTCAAAAAATCATTCCAAGCAAAACCACTTTTGTTAATCATGTCAAATATTATCCCATACAATTTTTTCCAAAATCTCATCTTGGACTCAATATGTGGGACTACCCTTAAATCAGTATTGGGAAATTTCTCAGCTAATGATTTTTCAATTTGGATCATTGTTCCAGATTTAAAGGAACCATTATCACATCGTAAACCTCGATTGACTACATCCTCAAGTATGGTCAACAATGCTTCTTCCTCATGTGCTTTCCACACCCTTCTACTTCCTTTTGATTGACTTGACTGTCCACTCTCCATTCCTATAGCCAATATAGACAATATAATTTGCGTACATATAATTAAGAAAAAAAGTTGGAAGATCAAATAAAATAAATACTAATTATCAAAACAAATAGTCTATTACAAGCACATCCAAATAGTCTAATACAAGAATACATAACCTAATTTCCAACCTCATTTCAAAAGCGAAAAATAGATAACCTAATTTCCACAAAAATTTAATAAAAAAATTGAAATATATAAAGAATAGAGAAGAAGCAAGAAGAAGCATATTGGTGAGAGTATGAAAGAGAGAGAGAGTGAGAGAGATGGATACCTGGAGAAGAGTGAAGAAAATAACCTGTGGAGAAGATAGCAGAGAAGAATCCTAGAGAGAAGAAGATGAAAAGAGCGTATGATTTTTTTTTGTAGAACACGTGCTTAGCCGTATAATTAAGCGTGTATTATCGAAACCGGGGTGTGTGGGTTGTATTAGTTAGTCAGGTAAGGAGAGTATTAAAAGCCCAACCCGTATAAAATAATCGGGTAATTAAATAATACAAATTGACACCAAACACCTGACATAGACTATTTACTCCTATCCAGAGTCTAATACGGTGTACCAAACGAACCCTCAGTGTCCGGAAACCGACGATCAAGCAGCCTTTGGAGCTTTCAAAAGTGGCCTCCGAGCGTCCCAATTCCGCTATCTGGTGCATTACAGGTAAACATGTTAACATGTTACATTCACTGCTTCAGTTGCATTTGTTTGTCATTCTATAATATGCCTTAATTTCAATATTTGCAGCGATTTCTAGAGCCGGTGAAA